GTTTTAATTTTAGGTAAGGAATTTCCACTGGAGATACTTGTACTCATGTACAGAAAATAGTGAGTTCTCTAAACGCACTTGATTAAATCTAGTTTTAAAAATCTCTGTATTCAAATTATATTTCCCGTTGATGTAAAAATAATAAAGCAACTGAGTTCATTCCTGGTTCCTACTGAATGGGATGGTAGGAAAAGGGATTATACTGTGCTGGTGTGTCTAACCTCTGCATGCCAACATATTCCAGTTATATCTCTGTATATTTATATATAGATATATACTGTTGTATTTTAGCTTGATGGCTCAGGTGAGGTTCTGGGATTCTGTGTGGATTGATCAGACAAGGTGGGGCTGCTCCTGGTCCTTTTTTGTTGTGCTGCTGAACTGATGGAATTCTCTGCAGGCCAAGGAGCTACAAAAATTCAGGGATTTTGTACACTGGGTCCTGTCAGGTCAGAGTTTGGTTTTATGTGGAGACTAGCAGGAATTTTGTTGGGATCCCAGGATTTTTTTACTTGCTGACAGCATTAAGGGCAGTGTTGGCGTTGGGAGCAGCTCGGATCTTGCTGATTTGGAGCAGGGTGGCTCAGGACATTTGTAGTGTCACCTCCACCACACGAGCATGCACATCCCATCCCATTTCCCAGGAAAGGGAAGCTGCTTCCTTTCCATACCAGGAGCCCTTGTGAGGAGGAGCAGGGCCAGGAGCAGGTGCTGCCCAGGGAGCTCGTGGGGCCTTGCTTGGGAGCTGCTCCTGTGTAACAGGTACCTGACCAACCTTGCAGCTTCCCAAATTCCTCGCTGTTTCCATGGTTTGCATTCACAGCTGGAGTTCATTTTTATTTTTTCCTTCTTGTGTTTTCTCAGAAAGCAAAGAGCAGGGAGCCACGAGGGACTCGTCCCCTCCACGGATGGCAGGCAGAGTTGCTAAGCAAGTAACAGTGCAGATGTTGGCAGAAGCACCACTGTGCCTTTGACATTTTTCCAGGGATTAGCTGTTCCTCTGCAGTGTGTTGGGTGTACACAGTGTCCTGTTTACAGTAAGATTCACAGGAATTGCTTTGCTTCTGTGTCTTTTGCCTCAGCCTGTTCCAGGCAGTGTGTGATATTCTTCCTGTTGGAGTTTCACAGGCTTGCAGAGGGGAGGGTTTAAATTTTGGGTTGGGTTTTTTTGCCCCTTCCCATCATTATTGATTTGGTTTTCCATTCCTGGCTGTTCAGGGTTTATATCTGAATGATGGAGAGGAGCAGTGGAGTATTTTGTGTAGTCAGGATTAAGCACTTCAGTAGAAACAGCCAACAGGGTGGTGTGGAGTCAACTCTTGACTTCGTAGACTAATAGAGAATATAATGAAACAGGGAAAGCAAACCTTGGAAGGCTAAGGAAAGCAAAAGAAAGCTAATGGAGGGAGGGAAATCAGCAGTTAGAACACAGAACTGTCCAAGGGGACGAGGGTCAGCGTTGGGATCAGCTGGGACACTGCCCTGGATTGGCACATCCCACAGGGAAGTGTTCATGAACATTTATGCTGCTGCCAGGCTGGCTGTCACTCAGTTCAGGTGGCTTCTGTGTCACTGCAATGTGCTTCACAGGGAAAATTTGCTTTACAGTTCACCAAGCCAGCAGCAGAGGGCCACAGAGGATGGATTTCGTTGCATTTCCGTTATTTCCTTGTATTTCCTTGACTTCCCCATCTCTTACTCCTCTCTGGAACAGGCTGCTGCAGATACCACGTTTTACCTCACCCTAATCCCTTTCCTGTGATGTTGGGAGGAGATTTTTGTACTTTCGGTTACTTTTCAAACTACTGTGCAAACCTCTTGTAAAATTACCTAAGTGAGGGATGTTATTTCTCTTCCTGCAGCTGAAATCTGTGCTTGAAAGCATAATAAAACACTGGATTCTGTTTCCAGCACGTTTCCTACCTGATCTTCAGCCCATAGTTGGTCAGATATGGAGAAGTTCTGGCTCTTTTTGACCATTAAAAGATTGGAAAGGGTGAATTAACTTCACTGGATAATTCTGTGACAGTGACTTTCTTAATAGGAGCTTGTGCACAGACTGACATGGGTACAGGAACAATACACAGCAGTCATGAAACAGGAGCATTTCCAGTCAGAGAAGGGATCAGACTTCCTTGGAATGGTTGTCACCTGCTCTGGATGCTTTATAGAGGCAAAAGGAAGATCACAAGGCAGTCATGACTCCAGCAAAGCTGTTCCTTTGGAGGTTGAGGGATGCAGCCCAGCCCTGCTACATGGAAAAGGTAGGAAGAAAACCCACAGAGTTTTGTGGGAGCTTTGCTTTGGATTAGGAGATCTGTGAGAAAGAAAACAGCTGAGTTAATTTAATGTCTGTCCCACCAGGCAGTTATTTCAAAGCTTCCATGTTTCCCTGTACACCAGTGTCAGGTGTCCCAGTTCTGGATGGGCACTTGCCTTTTGAGTTACAAGAGTGGTCAGGCAAAGCTGGGCTTTCCCTGCTTCTTCCACCCCTAACATCTGGCCCAAGCCACCAGGAGTGCAAAAAAAGTGGATTCAGTGACTGTGCCTCTTGTCCTGCTGCTTAGATGGGGTAAAAGATATGCAAAGTGTGAGACAAGGCTCGTGGTTGGAGACTCCAGAGATCAAAATTCAGTTCTTGGCCACAAGCTTCTTGCTAGACACAGGTAAGTCACTTCATCTTCTGTAGCCACACTTCCACTTCTGCAAAATGGGGATAAAAATAGAGTTTCAGCAGCCTTTGCCTGTGTTCCATATTTAGATGAAAACCTCTTTTAATGTGCTTGTGCTGCACAGCCCTGGGCCTGAGAGTATTCACAGTTATAAAATAACTCAGCTCCATCCATCCCACAAATCTCCTTTACATCAGGTTACATCCTTCTTGTCAGTCTGAGGGCCCATTAGTGTTATGTTCAGTTAAGAAATTAAGCTTTTCTTGTTTTCAGTCTAACACTGCAAACACCTCATTCATTACACAAACACTGTGGCCCTTATTTCCCCCAGGAAAATTTTGTTTTGTGGTGTAACACGAGCAGAAATGGCACTGCCAAAAAGGCTGAGCTGGGAGAGCTCTCCTGGCAGCAGAACGAGAGCTCAAGTGAGAATTGTGGAAGCTCTTCATGTCTGGGCATGGCTTGAGCTGCCCTGTGCCCTTGGACCTGCCAGCTCTGCTGCCCTGGTGCCACACCTGCAGGGAGCAGGGGACAAGCACCAAAGCCATCTGGTTGGTCAGGCCCTGCACGAGGGGACTGGTGTGGTCCCAAGGAGGCCAGTCTGGAAAACCCCAAAGGATCCTATTCCCCTTTTCCAGCAGAGTGGTGAGCAGTGGCTGAATCAGATCAGATTACTGGTTTGCCAAAACCCCCCAACCGTTTGACGCTGTGGAATATTTGGAGAAGCAGCAAATACCAAGTTGATGAGCTGTTGAGCGCATGGGCAGGGGCACGGTGTTGTCACCAGTGTCACAGTTGCACCACTGAGAGGCATTTTGAAACCCTCTGGGGTTTTGTTCAGTTTGGGTTTTATGCAAGCACTGAGATATCAGCTCTCCTGTTCAAAGCCAGTGCTCCCTCAATCCGCTGAGTTCTGTTACCCCGAAGTTCAGTCAGTAAAGTTTTCCAGGTATTTTCTGGCACACTTCTCCTGGGTTTATCCTTGCACAGTGACTGCTGGATCCCACCTGAGAAACGGCTGCCTTTCACAAGTGGATGAGTAACCAGCTCAGAAATGATCTTCCAGATATTTTTGGATCTCTTAGGGTGGAAGGCTTCTAGAGCTTTCTAGTGATAGTGAGGTAAGGTGTTGCTCACCAGGAAGTCCATTCTCTCTGCCATTGGGCACTATGGATTTCTAAGCTCCTCTCAACACTTCCATGAGCTCTAATGAATGGCAAGCAAAGCACTTCAGAGCAACAACTAAATGAACATATCTCAAAGTGCTACTTCAGGCCTGCTGCCCAAGGAATGGGAAGGACAAGCTGTTTTCCCACCCACACCTGTGCCAGAGCTGGGTCAGACCTCGGGGAGCTGCTGGGGTCGGTGGGCTGGGAATGTGGCCGGAGCCTGGGCAGCTCCCTGGGGCTGGCACTGGGTCCTGCACACCGGGATTGCTGAGCCAGAGCAGCTGCACTCCAGGCACACTGTCAGAGCTGCTCTGAGAACAAGGCAGCTGCACATCACTATTCCCACCTGGAGCACCTCTGGGGTCCCCACCACAGGGAGTTGTGGACCTGTTGGATGAGTCCAGAGGAGGCCACTGAGTTGATCAGTTGCTGGAGCCCCTCTGCTGAGCTGGGTATGTTCACCTGGAGAAGAGAAGGCTCCAAGGAGACCTCAGAGCCCAGTCCAGTGCCTAAAGGGGCTCCAGGAGAGCTGAAGAGGGACTTGGGACAAGAGCCTGGAGTGATAGGACAAGGGGAATGGCTTCCCACTGCCAGAGGGCAGGGTTAGATGGCTTATTGGGAAGAAATTCTTCCCTGTGAGAGTGGTGAGGTCCTGGTACAGGTTGCCCAGAGAAGCCGTGGCTGCCCCATCCTTGAAAGTGTCTCAGGCCAGGTTGGAGAGGACTTGGAGCAACCTGGGCTAGTGGAAGGTGTCTCTGCCCATGGAATAGGGGTTGGAACGAGATGGTCTTCAAGGTCCCTTCCAACCCAAACCATTCCAGATTCTACAACTATTTTATTTCAGAGCTATTAAGTAGAAAATGTGTTGTTTTGCCTGCCAAATCAGGAGCATCCCACTGCCACAGAGAAAATTCATTTGGTCCTGCTGAAGAAAACACACTAACTGGTCTTGTCCATTATTCAGCTTCTTATGGGCCAGGTCCCAATCCTGGCCCTTGGCTGAGTGGGTAGGGCTGACCTGAACAGGTTTTGAAGAAGGAGAAAGCCCCCCACCTTGTCTCCTCCGGGTTGTCATGTCCATGTAATTATCCCTGAGTAAAACCTGATTGCTTTTTTGTGGTGAAAATGAAGGTTAAGAAGTCAGCATGACTACAAGAAGCAGGAGGCAAATCCATACCTTTAATTAAACTCCTGTAAAATCGGAACACGGACAGATCTCAGGTGCTTGTCTGTGTGCTGCTGTTTGTTCCCTGTCACTGAAATCCAGGGGGAGTGGTAAATGCAGCCAGAACTTGTTCAAACTGAACTGATGCTCTGGAAAGTGCCATTTCCAAATGCTGCTGTTCTCCATTTGATGGGGACAATGTTGAAGGTGCAATATCCATCCCTGTTATTGGCTGGCTCTGTGTATCCGTTGATTTGCAGCAACGGGAAGTGAAACAGAAAAAGCAGTTTGTATGTGGGCTGGAGATACCTCCTGAGCTTTATCTGTGCTGTAGCAAGAGAAGAAAACTGGCACCCCATGACGTGAGAAATGATTGTACAAACACTGCACACAGCACAGGTTGCAGGGATGAAGAAAGGGGAGAAGTTTAGGAGCAGGGATATCAGTAGGGACCTTGCCTGATGCGCCATGGTCGTGCCTGGAAGTGTATAAGCCATGTTTTTGTCTGGAAATGGTGATGATTTCTTCTACAGTAACATCTGAAAAGTTCAGGCAGGATCCTGGTGCTTTGTGCTTTGCATTGTCTGAAATATCCCTGTCCCAGCTGGGACAGGTGGGCTGGGCAAGACATTTTAGAAAGGGGGAGAATTGAAGTGTCTTCCCCAACATCATGAGAAAACTAGGAGCAGATCCCAGAGGTCCAGATGATTCCCTGTGCAGTAGCCCCGGGAACATGCTGCTTCCCTGGCACTGGGCACCGTCAGGGAGCAGGGCAGCCCTTTGCCATCGTGGCTCTGGGCTGATGGATTCGGGATGGTTTGTTCTCAAAGCATGAAACTGATTTTCGAGGACGCCGGAACAGCTGCTTCTAAACTGCCGAAGCTGATTGAAAATCCCACCTGGGGTAATCCCTTCCAGTTAATTTGGCCTTTGTTCCTGACCTGCAATTCAGGGATGAGCTGGCAATGATGCTCCTGGCACTGGGGTGCAGTGCCTGGCCAGCTCCGTGAGACATCGTGCCAGAGGAAAGCAGGAGGGACCAGCCCACCATTGTCTCCATGGCCATTTCGGTTTTGCACAGTACAGCGTGATGTCTGCTGAGCTGGTGGCACTGAGGAATGAAAGGCTGGGTTCTGCTTTTCCTGCTGGGACTCAGAAATAGGCCCAGAGAGATGATGACTCACCTGTAATTGAGAAAAACTGCGTGGCATCACCATGAGCTTTAACAGTTAAATCCTGATCCCACCTGCCAGAGGGAACAGGCTGGCAGAGCTGCCACGGGCCAGAATGAGCTGGAAACGGGGCCAAGCGCACGGGAATCCTCAGCTGTGTGCCAGCCGTGTGTGTGAGGGGCTGGGCACACCTGGACACAGGTACCCCCTGTGGTGTGGCAGCAACGCTGGTCCCTGCAAGGGGAGATGGAGCTGCAGGGACAGCAGGTGGGAGAAGAGCTGGCCGAGGAGCCGGGAGAAGCCCCTGACCCCACAGCTCCGCATGCTCCTCCCTGCGACGTTCCTGCAGCTCCCGTCCCAAGCACGGATGATGTCAGAGTTGTCATGGCATCGGTATCTATGGAACCAGGATCATCATCACGGTGCTAGGAAAACTAACTCAGGAGATGGTCCTGGAGCCGCGGGGGAAACTCCCTTCCCAGTAATTGAGGGTTTCCCTCTAAGGCTCTTCTTTTCCCTCCTTCCCACTGTCCATGGGGAGGGAGCAGGATGGGGGCTTGGCCTCCTGCAGTCCCCTGGCAGATCTGGGTGCCCCCTGTCCTGCGTGAGGAAAGCAAGAGCTTTGGCCCTGTCCATCTTCACTTCCCTTTTCTTGCACCAGCTGTGGGTGTGGAACAGCGACGAGCGGTCGCCAAACCCTCCCCTCTGCTCTCAGGGAGGTCCCTGTGATCGGCCATGGAGCCTCCTGTGCCATAGCTGAGCCTCTGAGGGTCCCCCAAGGGGTGACAGCCACCCTTTCTGGGGGGCTGGACACAGACAAGGTGTTGTCTGAGGGTCAGTGTCTGCAGCAGAGCTGAGCTGAGCAGCGCAGTGACCTCCCCATGCTGCAGGCATGGCATCTCCCTCCTGCCAACAGCCTGGGCACTGGCAGGGCGTGGGGCTGCCCTGGCCATAGCACAGGTAGCCCCTGCCATTGTGCAGTGACACTGGTGACAACACCCTGTCCCTGCCTATGCCATGTTATCCCCAGAAGCAGCACAATGACCACAGGACAGTAATTCCTGGAATAGCACAGTGACCCTGGCAGTGGCAAGGCACCCTGGCAGTACCGTGGTGTCCCCAACCACAGCACACTGTCCCCAGCTGTGGCACGGTGACCATGGCCATAGCATGGAGTCCATGGCCACAGCACAGTGACACTGGTTGTCCGTGGTGCCCATACCCACCTGCCGGCGACACTGTCACAGTGTCACAGTGTCACAGTGCCCGTGCCCACAGCCCGGCGACACTGTCACACTGTCACAGTGTCCCAC